AACAACAACAACGATCTTCCTAAGTTTTTAAAAAGGGACATAATTAAAAACTAAGGTTTGCAGTTAAAATCACTTTTCAGATATGGTTACCATGGTCTGGAAAGTTCACAGGAGTTATTAAGTGCCATTGAGTCGATTCCAACCCCTAATGGCCCAGACAAATTTTGTAATTACTAGTCCTATTTGCCACCTTTGAACGTTCAAGCTCAGAGTCCAGGTGTGGCTCTGTGGGCTAATGCATCAGACTGCAAGGTCTTTTGAACTGCAAGGTTAGTGGTTCAAGCTCACCTCCTTGGAAACCCTACACAGGGTCGTTATGGGTCAGAATTGACCCGAGGGCACTTAACAACAACTTTCAAGATCAGTACTTTTCTCAGTATATAATATCAAGATTTTTATTAGTATGTGTATTTGTATTTTTCTGTACACATCAGCTATGGTATTGAGGAAGAAGCATCTCAAAAATGAGCTTTTTGCTCTAATGAAACTATTTCTACATTTAATTTTCAAAGACTCCAGAATTTTAGTATGTTTTGAGTTTGAGAAAGTCTGTGGTGCTGATATGTGCTGTATGATTGATACAGAGCATGACACAAGATGTAGGTTGATATGAAAAATAAACCTATGCACAATCAGGCATGACCCTTAAGAAAATGACAACCTTATCCTTTTTCAGATTTTTACTAATTTAAGAAAATAATCATAATTAAAAAGGAGGTAAGTAAAAGAAAGGAAAGAAGTAACGTAGCATATTCTGTTCCAGGAATGAATGTAGAACACAGGTGGACCGGTATCCTGCTGCCAGATTTAAGAAGTTTGCTACTGAAGATGAGGCCTGGGCCTTTGTCAGGAACTCTGTGAGCCCTGAAAGTTCAGAAGGTAGTCAATATCACAGCTTTACATTTTAACTTCTTCACAAGTCTTTCATAACTTGATCTTTGATCTATAGACTTACAGCAACCCTGTGTAGGGTTTCTAATGAGCATATGGTGAGCTTGAACCTCCAACATTGTGGTTCATTGCAGTACATTAACCCACAGCAGCACACCAGCTACTGCAAAAAATGACAGCCATTCCTCCCACAGCCTTCTCTATGCAGTTGGGTGTAATAATTCATTGCAGTGGCCACACAGAACTCAAAAACAATACTCACAGTTAGGGTTTTATTAGGGGAGTTAACAGGTTACAATTCAGGGTCAGAAATGTTCCAGGCAAAGTTTTTCTAGTTAGGACAGCCTTTCCTCAGCTGTTAACATAGGCCGGATTCCCTGTTTGGGCAATATTACAAAGTGCTTTTACAGATGCGGATAATTGCCATAGGATTCACCACTCCCCCATAAGCCTCAGCATGAAGGCACTAGGCTCTGGCTCCTTGGGTCAGCAGACCTAGTACCAATACACTGCATGTATTGGTACTTAGGATAGCTTCCCTGATTAGGCACTCCACTCTGCAAGCAAAATCTGCCGAAAGTCACTCAGCTTTACTTGCTCTGTGGGCTGGGAAGTCCACTGCTCTGTCTTGTACTTTTGTTTCTGTTGCTGCTTTTCCTCTGCTGCTCCTCCAATGTCAACAGCTTTCTGTTCCTGAATAGAGGTTTGATGTGCAGGGATCTCTGGGTCCAAAAGATGTGCTCCACTCCTGGTTCTTTGATGGAAGTGAGACTCTCCCCTCTGAGATGGCTCATTTTAAACCCATGTTAGCATTCCAAGTTTTTACGGTCACAGTTGACTCTTAATCACAATGGAATCATATCCTATCAACATCTTCACCCACCTTTTCTTGCTGAGACCCATCAAGAAAAAGTTTAGTGGGGTTTATAAAAACTACGGGCCGAAGAACCATATAAATGAATTCACTGCACTGCAGCTGTCCTCTAGGCATATAAAGAAGATATGATTACATCCATTTTTCAAATTAGGAAGCAGGTTCAGAGATGTGAAGCATAGTGTTTTATGTTGGTAATAGTGTCAGAGACAAGCCAGAATACACATCTCCCACCTTCATTCATTATCCTCACTAGTACCATAATTCCTTACATTTTAAAAAACACTTGTATTGCTGTTGGATTGAGTGAACTACAATTTGAAAGTGATGAGTACAGTTCCTTTCACTGCATGTATTGATACTTAGGACAGAGTCACATAATGTGGATTTCTTTCAGCTTCATGTGTTATAGAAAGTTTAGTTATGTGGAGTCTAAGGTGTAGTACAGTTGAGTTAGTTCTGACTCCTATGCCTAACAGCTCAAAATACTTGCCCAATCCTTCATCATCCTTACAGTTATTGTTGGAACCCATTATTGCTGCAACTGTGTCAGTCCATTTTATTGGTGGTCTTCCTCTTCTTCACTTATCCTCCACTTTACCAAGCATAATGTTCTTCTCTAGGGACTCATCATTCCTGACAGTGTGTCTAAAGTACAAGAGACATAGTCATACCATCCTTGCTTCTAAGGAGCATTCTAGCTGTACTTTTTCCAAGACAAATTTGTTTGTATTGGTGATAGTGTGTCACTGAGTAGGTTCTGACTCATGGCAACCCTGTATAGGGTTCCCAGGGCTGTAAATCAGTGGAAGCAGGAAGCCTCATTTTCCTTCCATGTAGTAACTGATTAGATTTGAACTGACCTTGCAGCCCAGCTTGTACTCTACTATGATACCAGAGCTCCTTTGTTTGTACCAGGGGCATTAATTAAGCAAGATTAAGGAGTCTTAGTGTGGTGTTGAAGGTTAAGCACTGAACTGCTAACTACAGCCACTCCTGAAACCCTGTATAGGATTGCTATGAGTTGGAACTGACTCGATGGCACTTAAGAACAATAGCAACAAGGGTGTCTCTGCATCAGAGCACACAATTAAAAAAATATATCAATCGACTCCACGGCACGTCACCACCATCACCACCACCACTTTGAGGGAGTATTTAAAATTTTATTTTATACTTTACTCACAATGTTACCTCTCTGGCTTATGAATGAACTGAGGTCATTTTAATTTGTTTCTCCCCAGAACATATTAACATGTTCAAACATTGAACACCTGTTCTTCATCACAATTCTTAACAAAGCAGAATTCAGGGAAAGGCAGATTGCTCTGGGAATCTGCTTCTCTGAAGGACTTTACCTCAATATATATTGACTTCATCCTCCATCTTCCAGGAGCTTTTGTAAAAATGGTGTGGAGGGGACAGCTGACCTAACTATACCAAAGGAGAATCAAGATCAACAGCCCCAGGGTGATTCCGATGAGACAGAGAACAGACATGCTTCCTCTCGCCAACCTTTTTACCCATTTGGACATCAACCATCTCTTCCATAGCATTCTCTACCCTGCTGAGTTATAATTTGTTGTAATGGCTGCACAGAACTCAGGCATTACTCATGATTATGGTTTTTTCAAAAGGAGGTAACAGATTACAACAACGAATGATAGTTTTTCGATCGGGACAACCTCTTAGACATGCCTGCAGTAAGACTTTTTGGCCTTTTGGCACCTTGGTCCCTCAGCCTGGTCTCTCCTCTGCTTGGGCAAGTGTTGCAAAGCTCTTATGGGTCAGAACCGACTCAATGGCGCTTAACAACATAGAGGTACCCCACTTTGCCAGTAAGCCTTGATCCAAAGATTCTCATCTCGCTCTCACTTTTCATGTTATAAAATCAGCACATATGTTAATATTTTACAGAATTGCACTTTAACTTGTACATGTGTATTTAACTTCTATAGCGTATTTAGTACTGTTGAAGATCAAAGACCACAACATTTGATATGGGTTGCATTTCAATGTAAAGAAAACAAAAATCCTCACGACAGGACCAGTAAACAACATCCATGTGAATAGAAAAAAGACTGAAGTTGTCAAAGACTTCTTTTGCCTAGATCAGCTGTCAACACTCATGGAAGCAGCAGTCAAGAAATAAATGATGAATTGCATTGGGAAAATCTGCACAAGACCTCTTTAAAATGTTGAAGAGCAAAGATGTCAGCTTGAGGACTAAGGTGCGCCCGACCCAAGCCATGGTATTTTCAAAAAAACCTCATATACATGGGAAAGTTGGACAGTGAATAAGGAAAACCATAGAAGAATTGGTGCATTTGAGTTATGGTGTTGGGGGAGAATATTGAAAGTACCATGGATTGCCAGAAGTACAAATAGATCTGTCGGAAGAAATATGGCTAGAGAGCTCTTTGGAAGCCAGAATGGCCAGACTACAGTTCTCACACTTTGAACATATTATCAGGAGAGACTAGTCCCTGCAGAAGGATATGATGTGTGGTAATGTGGAAGGTCGGAGAAGAAGAAGACCCTCAGCAAGATGGATTGGCACAGTAGCAGCAGCAGCGATGGTTTCAGGTGTAGCTACGATTATACGATTGGCCCAGGACCAGGCAGAGTTTCGTTCTGTTGTGCATAGGGTTGCTATGAGTTGGTGCCAACTTGATAGCACCTAACAACAAGTGTGTTTACAGGAGTCCCATTGTGGCATTGGGTTAATGTTGAGACTGTAAAGCTGTTTGAACTGCAAGGTCAGCAGTTCAAGCTCACCAGCCACTCTTCAGAAACCCTATACAGGGTTTCTATGGGTCGGAACCGACTTGATGGCACTTAACAGCAATAAGATAACCCAAGATATAGTAGAGTGAAAAGGTCAAACATTGCTTTATATATAATACTGGTTACTCTTAAATTTTGCCCACAATTCTTCTGAAAAGTGGGTTGAGAAGATAAGACTACATTAAAGATATTTGTTTGTTCTGATCTAGCCAGGTGCTCAATAAATATTATGTCCTGTTTTTTCAGGCCTGTTTTAGGAATTTAGAGCTAAGCATGATATCTGTTGTATTATGTTAAGGTGGTTCTTTTGAAATATAATTTGTTCTTTCTGTACCCCTCTTTCTACTATATGAAGTGATAATATTGTTGTTGTTAAGTGCCATCGAGTCGGTTCCGACCCATAGCGACCCTGTACAGGGTTTCCGAGGGTGTAAATCTTTACAGGAGTAGAAAGCCTCATCT